CCCCAAAACCCCAAAACCCCAAAACCCCAAAACCCCTCACCAGTTGTTCCAAGTTGACTGTAATCTTATTCAGATTTCTTCGTATCTTCCTTCTCTTCTTCATGATTTTGGGCGTTTTCTGATTGTAGGATCTCCTTGACTGCGACCATGAATCTGTTAACGATTGCCTTTTTGTTTAACTTTTCTCCTGAAAAGGGATCGTTCATATTATTTTTGAATAATTCTTTATACGTTTTATGGTCGATGGTGTGACCTGATGGGCAGATTACAGGAGACTTTATTTCTTCTAGAGATATTGGACATTCTAGTTGAGACATTATTTTTACCACCTGTGCAGCTAAGTCATCATGAGATGGCCCTTCTTGGAGAGTAGGAGTCATTTTTACACAACTAAGCTTCTCTAAAGTTGAGATTTTTAACTCTAATTTTCGAATAAGAGATTTGAGATTTGATACCTCTTGACCATCATCTCCATTTGTAAGACTGTTAAGAGCTTTATTTTCATCCAAGGCCTGAGATAGCGCATTGTTTAGTTCCAATACTTGATTCTCGCTTTCTTGAAGCTTAATCATAATTTTTGGATCAACTGGTGGATTGTTAATTTTCTCCATCTCTAAAATTTACTCGTGTTTAATATAATTTTAATACCTTTTTCTCTGATAGCTAGCCTTAGTAAATTGATTTCCTTTCTTTGATTTTCTATCTTCTTTAAGTTATCCTGTGCATTGATCATCTGCGCCTTGCTCAAATTCTTCTCTCTCTGCAATTTTTCAATAGTATCCTTATGCATCTTGATTGCATTAACTTGATTTGCCAAAGTTATACTTTGATTCTAAAAATACGTTAAGACTGTTATAATCTTAAAAACCTAACTCCTGACCTTCCCCCCAAGAACCCAGGGATCTAACCTATCCACACCTAAAACTTACCTTTATCTTCACATTCAAACCGTTAATCGTGGTATTGAGCTTCTGAATGGAGGCACGGAGAGGGCCAGAGTCGTCTCTTTTGGGTTGGGATTTTAGCTGGGAGATCGTGTTCTTGTGGGCTTGGATGAGACTGGCGGACTCAGAGTATTGTATAGTGAGCGATTCGATGTGGGATTGTTGGGTTTTGAGTTTGTTTTGGAGGGTGTTGATTGTGCTGTTGAGGGCTGAGTTCTTTTTGCTCAAAGATTCGTTATTTTTGGGTGAGAGTGTTCACTTGTTGGGTTAGAGCCGTAGTATTTTGATGTGGAGTGCTTTTCTTCTGGTTTTGATTATTATTCTTACGTTTATTGTGCTTATTTTCATGTTTTGGAAAGGGAACTGACTTTTTCTCTTCGTGAAAGCTTTGATGTGGATGATTTCTTGCCTTTTTCTTTTGAGAGTGAATTACTGATGGAATATTATTCTGTTTTGCGACTTCCTCATTTAAGAAAATATCCGTATTCGCTCCAAACGCATTCCTCAGAGACTTAATCAGCTGACTACTCTGTTCCTTCTTCTTCCCTGTTAAAAACCCTGCAAGATCCATTTTTATTCCAATAATACCTTTCAACCTTCTTAATAACCCAGGGGTTTTGGGGTTTTGGGGTTTTGGGGTTTTGGGGTTTTGGGG